ACAGATTTAACCCCAGAAAACCAAGACAATATTTATTCTTCCCGTGCTAGGGATAGAACCCAGGGCATCTTGCATAATAAGCAAGTGCATGCTTAGACAAGACTGTATCTGATGAGGGCTGGCCGGCAATCCTGTCTGGGCAGTGGTCCTGCACCTGGTTCTGGCCCTGGCCCTTGTTCTCCAAGCTGATTGTAGAGGCTCCTGTCTTTCTAGGAGGCTCCAGGTGGCTGCACCTGATAGATCCCTGGCTCACCTGCATGCTCTGGATTCAGCAGGGCCTGACTGCTCAGTGTGGCCAGCAAAGTGCCTACTGCTGCTCCGGGTGTGGCCTGGGCTCAGTTTACAAATGGTACCTGGGTAAGACTCTTTTCTATTTTTGATTGGATCATAAAATGACTGAACATTGACTAAGTCAATGTGTAAAGAGATGAAAGGGCATCACTTGGGTGGTATTTACCTTCTGGAGTTTGTCCTAGAGGTTTCAATGAGTGGAGTCTGATCATTTGAAATGGCCTTTGCAAAGCAAACAAATTGATGTGCACAGTTTGTGCTCGCCTTTAAGCAAGTCTAATTTTCCTATATATTTTGAAACACAACTGTTTCCTACTAGAAGGGATGAACCTCTGCTTCCAGAACTTTTCCTTCCATGTTCATTGCAGTGCAGCACTCATTCCAAGCTGAGAGGAGTAACGGAAGCTGCAGAGCACCCACCAAGTGGGATGCAACCAGGGTCCTGTGTCAGGATCACTGGGTACGCTGGTTAAAAGGCCAGCTGCCTCAGACCACGACATCCAGCCTTTCATTTATAAAATGAAAAACTGAGGTGAAGAGATAACCTGGTGGGCACGGTTCCTGGCCCAGAACTTGCTCCTTCAAGACACTCCCCTCTGTGCTTTGCTAAGGGGTGGGCACTGGGATGGGGTTGTGGGAAAAGGAAGAGTTTTAACATGCAAGGCCTCAGATTCGGGAAACTGGGTGCACAGTTCAGGAACACATATGTTTTTTAAAATGCTACACCTGATCTGCATAGCCTTACTTAAAAACTGGTGACTTAATATTTCCAATTATATTTTGTCCTTAAAATGGGAACTGGATTGAAAAGTATCAATTGAAATGTAAACTAGACATAATGTAATAATTTAGAAGCAGCAGCACTTTGTATTAGGAGCCCACCAGCTTCCAGTTGCTTCACAGGGGAGTGAGGAACAGGTCAGGCATTAGTGGAGTTTTTAGATATGCTCACTATAGCTCCATTTTTAATCTGGCCTCAGAAACTAGCCAAGAGACCAGAAGCTGTTCTGTGTATCACAAAGGGCAAAATGAGGAGTTGAGGCTATGCTTAGTTACAGGGAAGCTGGTGGGAGGTCACACCAAAGAAGGAGAAAAACACAGGTTCTAGATATGGCACTCATCCAGAGAAACCCAAGGTTGTGGGGACCTAAAAGCCCCACCTTACAGAGGTCCGAGAGGAAGTTACTGGGGGTGTAGCCTGGCTTGCTTTGAAAGTCTGAAGAATACTTCCGCACTGCTGAGGAGTGCATGATCAGCGTGTGACCATCCTTAAGATACACCCTCAGAGGGAGGGGGGAGTTCCAGGTGCCTTTATAAGCTTTGTAACACCTGCAATAAATGAGTCTCTGCCTGACTAAGACTCCCCGTTGTGTCTGAGTGTCCCGGGCTAATGGGGGCGGCGTGGGCTGGCGAACAGTGCTTACTCATCCCCAATCCTCACCTAGCCCGGGGGGGTTGCTGGTTCGAACCCCCGGCACAAGGTGGAGCCAATTCATCTGAAGTTTTGAGAAGCACATGAAGAGTGATTGTCCAAGATTTTGTACACCACCCCTGCCCAAGAGACTAAGTGGGAGATGTGATGAAAGCTCTGCTCTCCTGATAGTAGAGCCAGGCAGAGTGGCCCATGCAGCAGTGAAACCAAGGTCAGTAGAGGCAGCTGCTATGAGGCCTTCTGTCCAACCATCACCCTGGACCTTGTACTCTCCGATGGGTAATTAGAAGGGAAGAAGGCAGCAGAGACAATGAGGGATACCCTTCCTGGGTTTTAAGTTTCTAAGAGACCTGACCCTGCCCAGATCAAGGCTTCCTGATGGCAGAGAACACCAAGATCTTCTCTAGGCTCAGGAATGGCTCAATAGTGAGCACTTGTCAAGAATATGCAAGGCCCTCAGTTCTAGCCACAGGAAACAGATGCATGCATACATGTATGCACAACGGTGTTTAGAGCAAGCTAGGAGCATCCTGTTGGAAGGTACTGACAGAGATGCTGAGTTGGAGGAGCTCTAGACTCCATCTCTCCAGGACATGACAGCTCAGTACCCAGATTACCTTTCTTACAAGGCAATGTCAGTTTGGGTCACAGCTAAGTCCTTGGGAGAAAACTCCATGGAGACTTGAAAATAGAATTGTGGTCAGTGTTTCATTTGCCAACAACAAATACATTTTCCTATTTGCCCTAAGGTGTCCCTTTGCTACTTTTTGAGGTATCTGTAGGTCTGGGAAACACAACTGTTGACACCAGAGAGGCCATTTAGCCACATGTAGTCTCAGCAATTCATGAGGCTCCAGCAAGAGGATCCCAAGTTCAAGGCTTCCCTAGTCAACTTAGCAAGACATTACTCAACAGAAAAAGAGGGCTGGAGATATAGCTCGCTGGTACAGCACTTGCCTAGCAGGCACAAAGCCCTAGATTTAATCCCTGGGACAGAAAAGAAAAAAAAAGTTAAATCAAAATTTAAATTACAATACAAAATGATTCTTGCTAAGGTAATGTTACATTTGCACTGTACCAAAACACAGTCACTGAAACAGTTTTATAACAAAATATCTTGAGACGATGAAATCCCTCAGTAAGAGACTAGTTAAATAAATTATGGCATATAATTTCAGTAAAAATTCTTTCTAAAAACTATTTTATTTATTTTTTATTTTCTGTGTAAGAGTGTATTGCCTGCATGTATGCAAATGCACCTGTGTCATGCAATGCCTACAGAGATCAGAAGAGGGCACAGAATTCCCTTAGAACTGGAGTTACGGATGGCTGTTAGCCTCCATGTATATGCTGGGAGTTGATCCTGGGTCCACTGAAAGAGCAGCCAGTGCTCTTAACCACTGAGCCATCTCTCCAGTCCCATGATCCTATTTTTAAAAATAAGATCTACCTGTACAAGTGTGTGTGCGTGTGCATGTGTGCATGTGTGTGTATGTGTGCATGTGTATGTGTATGTGTATGTGTGTGTGTAGTCATGCTTCCATGAGAAGCATACCTCAATGCCTATTGGCCCAAGTAGGCCTTGAGTTTTGGATCCTCCTGCCTCAGCCTCTTGAGCCTCTGAGAATACAGACCTGGCTTAAGTTTTTTTTCAACTATGTTCTAGAAAGGCTGAATCCATTTAGGCCTCTGCTAACATATGTAAAGGAAGTCCATGTCTCACAGGACACAACGGCATGTCACCAACATGTTCCAACAGACCAACCACTGGCTGCTCTTGCAGAGGATCTGGGTTCAATTCCCAGCACCCACCATGGTGGTGAACAACTGTTCATAACTCCAGTTCCAGGGGAATTCTACTCCCTCTTCTGACCTCTGTGGGCATTGCACAATATGGGTGCACTTATATACATGCAAGCAATACACTCATACACATAAAAAATAATAATTTTTTAAGTTAGTCTAAAGACCATATTTAGTTTCTTTGGAATTTTCAATATTTTAGTTGCTTATTATTTCTTATGAAAGGAAACATAAACCTGCTTCTTCCAGAACATGAACTTCTTAGTTCTCCCTTTTATCTCCCTGCCTGGGCAAGCAGCTCAGAGTGGAGCCAAGCATCCCCAGGACTGTTCCACTATAGAGCATGGCCAAGATTGGGGCCACTATGGAGCATGGATGGCCAAGATTGGTGTGCTAGGGCTGTTTTACTACAGAGCATGGCTGAGGTTAGGTCCAGGGCTGTTTCCCTATGGAGCATGGCTAAGGCTTGGTTTAAGGTATGAACACACTAGCTAACCCATGAGCCAAAGCAACCTGGACTGACCTCTGGCAGACTCAGAAACTTGAGTCTTGTCATCTACTGTGGAACAATGTGAGCATAGCTCTGGCAGGGGACCAGGATCTTCACCTTCTCTCCTAGGTTGACCCCACCTGATCAGGGGCACAGTACTTCTCTGACATGGGGGTCCCCATCTGGCACACTGCTCCAAGAGCCCTCACTTCCATGGGAGGGTCAGCTCAGGTGGGTAGGTCCTCTTCACATTTTATTTTCTCCAATTCTCCAAATAAAAGAAGAAAATGCCCCATGCCAAGTGGTTGCGAGGATGAAAATATAATGTGGTCCAAGAGGTGCTAGACCTAGAGTTTGTCTCAAGAAGACACTGCCTGGTTCATTATCTTGTTGCTTAAATTGCTACATCTCACTAGCGATAACCCATGCTGGGCATTTAGGATTTTGCCATCTCCCTGGTCCTCACTACCCCATGGGGAGCCTGAGTGTGCCCTCTTCCCCCTTCTCCCTGTCCCCTCTTTTTCTCTTTCATCTGGTAGAATGTGGAAATCATCTTCACAGCTTCTTTGTTGCTCCTCCCCACACACTTTCCATTCTCTCTCATTCTGTAAGACACTATTCGGGATCCTATTTACTCTCTTCTCCTCCCTAGTGTTTCTGTGCAGGGTAGAATTAGGAATGGTGGGGAGCTGCCCAGGATAATTCTTAGAAATCTGCCTTGTTCCTCAGCTCAATGCTCCATTCACTACTTACCATCATACCATCACTTAAGTATTTCTGCCTGCCTAGCTCACTCCTTTAAACCGATTTCTTGCTGACAGTATTAGGATCTAGGTTTGACTATGCCATCCTCAACTGGAGTCCTCTGTGTTTAAGCTGGCAGTTCAAAGTCCTAGAGGACTCTGGGAGCAACTCTTATGCAGAGGTTCCTGCTATGTCCTAAAGAGATCCTGCCTGTCTGTGTCCCAGGCCCACTGTTCTTACCTGCTGTTTGAGTGCCTCCAAAGATTCAAATTCCAACCTGGCCAGTTTCATCTGGATGTGCCGTGGTTTATCAGGGATGGCAAACGCAAGTATGAACTTTAAAGCCAGGAGTGAGTGCTGCAAACAGAAAGACCACATGTTAACACCATCCATTCACATACATGTGCCAGGAGACAAGTTGGAACCTAAAAAACCTGGGGCACTTTCCATATGTTACTCCTAGAGACTTGAATTAGTGGCTTCCGAATTATCAAAGACCGGCCAGGCTAGGCGTTGTAGCCCACTCCAGTGTGGTCTACCCCACAGTTATTGGCTTAGTGTTAAGAGTACTGGCTGCTCTTGCAGAGGATCCAGGTTCGGTTCCCAGCATCCATGTGGTAGCTAACAACCATCTGCAACTCCAGTTCCAGGGGATCCGATGCCCCCTTCTGGTCTCCTTAGGCATTGCACACACACGATATACTTAGATACATGCAGGTAAAACACTGAAACACATAAAATAAAAATAAATACGTAGCTGGGTGTGGTGGCCCCACATCTTTAGTTCCAGCACTTGGGAGGCAGTGGCAGGTGGATCTGTGTGAGGCCAGCCTGGTCTATATAGCAAGTTGCAGGCCAGCTGGGGCTACAGGGAGACCTTATCTCAAAAAAGACAAAAAAAAAGATTTATTTAAAAAATAAATACATTAAAAAATAAAATCAGCTATATGTTGACACCACATGTTACTGTCAGTGTTCTGTAGAAAAGTAAAGCTCATTCTGAAGTTTTCCACAAAACTGTTTTGACCTATATGTTAATGAGCAATGCATTTAGCACATGGCACTTGTAGATCTGCTCCACTCTCTGCCCAGCACCACCCACCATGCTGCAGGCTGAGTCAGTCAGTCCTCCACATCCCAGTGGTGTCCAATGTAGAGTCCTTCATGACATGATAATCAGTAAATACTGGTGGCTAACTGTGATCTTAAGCTGCTCTCTCCATAAGTAGTAGTGGAGAACAGAGAAATGTCCTGTATCCTTTAAACATGAATGATGAAGACCATCTCCTTCTACCCCAGCATCATGAAGAAGCCCTTAACAACACAGTGACATGAGATTTAGAAATAGGCTGGCAGCATTGCCCACTGACTCCAGTACTGCAGAAGCCCCGCCCTGCCCAACTGATACCTCCCTAACCCAGCAAACAGGAGCAATACCCACAGACATCCCAACCATCAAAGAACAAACTTCGAGGGAAAATGACTACATGTTAAAAGCTGAGAATCTCTAATGGTAAGAAATAATCAAAAGGTGTTAAAGAAATCAAGGAGATGGAACAGCTTTCAAGATGAACTACATTCAACTGTTGACAGAAAAGAAGACAACTGAGAAAAACGAAATGAGTTCCTCATTGTAAGATTTTCAAAGACAGACCAGAAATCACAAAGTGACTTTTGGGAGAACTGTGGGGTGATGCAGGGGCAGCACCATGCCAGAGCAAGGAATGATTGATCAGAAGATCTGAAAACCAGCAGCACCCTGCCAACTACTGCACTACCAGTGGTGTGAAGTAGATCAGGACTGGAGGATGGGCACCACGGCTAAGGACAGGCAGGCCTCACCTCACTGTGACCCCATGTCCAAGGACAGGCAGGCCTCACCTCACCGTGACCTCCATGGCCAAGGACAGGCAGGCCTCACCTCACTGTGACCTCCATGGCCAAGGACAGGCAGGCCTCACCTCACTGTGACCTCCATGGCCAAGGACAGGCAGGCCTCACCTCACTGTGACCCCATGGCCAAGGACAGGCAGGCCTCACCTCACTGTGACCTCCATGGCCAAGGACAGGCAGGCCTCACCTCACTGTGACCTCCATGGCCAAGGACAGGCAGGCCTCACCTCACTGTGACCTCCATGGCCAAGGACAGGCAGGCCTCACCTCACTGTGACCTCCATGGCCAAGGACAGGCAGGCCTCACCTCACTGTGACCTCCATGGCCAAGGACAGGCAGGCCTCACCTCACTGTGACCTCCATGGCCAAGGACAGGCAGGCCTCACCTCACTGTGACCTCCATGGCCAAGGACAGGCAGGCCTCACCTCACTGTGACCTCCATGGCCAAGGACAGGCAGGCCTCACCTCACTGTGACCTCCATGGCCAAGGACAGGCAGGCCTCACCTCACTGTGACCTCCATGGCCAAGGACAGGCAGGCCTCACCTCACTGTGACCCCATGGCCAAGGACAGGCAGGCCTCACCTCACTGTGACCTCCATGGCCAAGGACAGGCAGGCCTCACCTCACTGTGACCTCCATGGCCAAGGACAGGCAGGCCTCACCTCACTGTGACCTCCATGGCCAAGGACAGGCAGGCCTCACCTCACCGTGACCTCCATGGCCAAGGACAGGCAGGCCTCACCTCACCGTGACCTCCATGGCCAAGGACAGGCAGGCCTTGCCTCACCGTGACCTCCATGGCCAAGGATAGGCAGGCCTCACCTTCCTATGTCACCCATGTAAGTAACCCCTCCTCTATACTCCTGTGAGTAACCCCTCACCCATGCTCCTGTATGCTTTCACCTACCTGTGAGCAATCCCTCACTCATCCTCCTGTAAATGAAGCAAATAAACTCACTGGTTCACCAAACTAGACTTGAGTGGGACTGTTACTTTGGTCTATTGCCTGTATCCTATCTGGGGTGAGCAGATGTTTCGTTGTATCTCCTCAAAAAAGTCAAACAAAAACCATCACGCAGTTTGTCTTTGTTTCAAGGACATAATGAATGGAAAGCTTCTTTGGTGTTTAAAAGGCATCTGCACAGTGTCTTCATACCCTTCCAAACCTGAACAGAGACAAAGCCAGGCAGGGCAGGGAGCAGGGGGCAGAGGACAGGGCAGAGTAGCACCTGGGACCCAGCACACAGCTCTCCCCAAGCTCTGCTCCTGATGACCTGAGCCGGCACAGAGCTGGACAACACAAGCAGCCTGGGCTTCCAGGTATCTGCACAGACTATCTCCCAAAGGAAGCCACGTGAGGAACAGGGCTGAACAGGTTAGTGGAGTACTGAAATATAGAAGTTCCTATGCAGAAAATGCCAACCAGTGGAACAAGAGTTACCATAAAAACATCAAGAGCTTTTATCACCTCTCCCCCACAACCTAATTCAATCAAAGGTTTTGGGTTTTTTTTTTTTTTTTGAAATGCCAATTAGAACATATGAATAGAAGCAACTAAGGGATTATAAATAAATTGTACCTCATGGGCTGTTCTCTTTTTAAGATATAATCCTTGGGGTTGGAGAGGTGGCTCAGTGGTTAAGAGCACTGGCTACTCTTGCAGAAGACCAGGTTTGGTTCCCAGCACCTACATGGTAGCTAACGATTATCTGTAACTCCAGTTCCAGGGAATCCAATGCCCTCTTCTGATCTCTGTGGGCATTGTGTAATACTGGCACACTTACCTACATGCAGGTAATACACTCATACACATAAAATAAAATTTAAAAACAAACAAACATATAATCCTTGTTGCAGGGACTTGAAGCCAGAGACTGAGTGATAGGTATCGTCTATCAGTAGGGTGAGAAAGTCAGGTTTTAAGGCCTTGGCTAGCATAGAGCTCACCATCCTGAGAGTGGTTTTCATGTATACAGCGTGTCTGCCTTCCAGAGCCATGTTTCATGCACACAGCAGCTTCTAGTCTGGGTCTGCTGGTGGGGAAGGAAGCGGAGTCTGTGGGAGGGTTATGTTTCATTTGGCACCCACTTTGTGTCTTTAACAACTATTTTGATCACTTGAGAAGTAACATAAATCAAGGACCTTAATAACCAGAAGCAAAGTGACACCTGAAGACCTGCTTTCCACTTGCTGTATGCCTGTTCCATCTGCTTTTACTTAATTCACTCTGGAGAAGTACACACTTGTAACCCCTACACTGTCAGCCACAGGCCAGCTGGGGTACTGCTGGGCCCTATAAAGGTGGTGGCTCCACGGCAAGGCAAGGACACAGAACCAACGTCCTGAAGCCCCTGGCCAATGCCAGGCTCATCAATGTCTCACTCTTTACCTGATAGAGCATGGTGTTAAAGTCTGGGTCCTGCACACCCTCTAAGGCCCAGAGGTTGAAGGCTTGGTCCCCAGTCCATGGCACTCCTCGGAAGTCGGGGAACCTTTGGGGTTAGGCCATCAAGGGTATGTCCTTGAGGGGACACTTAGCCCACTCTTCTTCCTCTCCCTCTGCTTCCTGGCTGCTGCAAGGTAAGCAGGTCCCCAGCACATGCCCCTGTCGCCATGGTGGGCTGCCATAGGCCCACAGTAGCAGGGCCATGCAGACCTCCAAAGACCTGATTCAGAATAAACCTTTTCTACTTTTTTTTCAAAAATTTTATTTATTTATTCTTATTTTATGTGTATGAGTGTTTTGCCTGCATATAAGTGCATCCATGTTGAGCAATGCCTGCCAAAGCCAGAAGACGGTACTGGATTCCCTAGAACTGGCATTACAGATTGTTGTCAGATGCCATGTGGGTGCTAGGAACCCAATCTGGGTCCTCTGTAAGAGTAGTCAGTGCTCTTAACTGCTGAGTTATCTCTCCAGCCCCTGTCATCTATTTTTAGAATAAAATCTTATTGGAAAGAATGTTCATGTACTTTAGTCAAGCCCCCTAAAATCAGATTGTTTCTATCACTGAAAAGAGAGTGTGGGCTGGGGGCACAGCTCAGTGGCAGAGGGCTTGCCCAACATGTATGAAATCCTGGCTCTGAGTCCATGCACTGCAGAAAGAGATGAGAGGGGCTCCCCTTATTTTCTGTCTTTGTGTGTGTGTGTGTGTGTGTGTGTGTGTTCCTGTGTGTGGTGCATGTGTGTACAGATGTATGTATGCATGTTCCTGTGTGTGCAGGTGTATACACATGTGTATTCCTGTGTGCAGGTGCATTTGTGTACAGGTGTGTGTTGGTGGAGGTAGAATAACCTTGGTGTCGCTCCTCAGGCACGGTTGACTTTTCTGTTTTGAGACAGGGTCTCTCACCAGCGTGGAGCTTGCCAAGCAGGCTAGGCTGGCTGGCAGGGAGCCCCAGGAATCCATCTGTCCACCTCCTCAGTGCTGGAGTTATAAGCACACACCTGGACTTTTCA